TTAGCCGGGAAAAAGACAGACGAACTAAAAACTGCAAAAAAAAAAGAAAAAAGTCTGTCACGTCCAACTGCAAAAAAAAAAGAAAAAAGTCAGACGCAGATGTCACGTCCATTGAGAGGAATGAATGAAGGGCAAGTAAATTGTGCATTGGCTGACACACTGCACTGAGCCGTGTGAGCAGCGTGTTATGATACGTGTTAGCGAAATGTTTTTTTTAAAGCTTCACTGCTACACGTGAATCACGCGTGACATCTGGCTCGACACTTCACTGCCACACGTGATTTACGTGACGTCTGCGTGACGTCTACGTCACGTCTACGCCTCGTCTGCGTCTTAAAATGAATGGATTAAATAGCAAAAAAAATTTTACAAATTAAGACGTCAGTGAGACGTTCATTGAGACGAGTGCAAATATCCCCTCAATATTTTTTATTATTATTTTTATTTGTTTTATACTTTTTTTGTTGTTGTTTGTTTCTTTTTTTGGCCGCTGTGCCAAAATTGTGTTTGCATTTAGTACATTCAGTGTCACGTTTTTTGAAACACTGATTGATCGATTTCATGAGACATTCGTTTGTATTAAATTGTTCAGATTTTTTAACATGCATTCAAATATTCATGTTTATTTCTTGCTGCAAATATTAAAGAGGAAAATATCATTGATTCATATGCCACTACTGCCGAATTATCTCAGTACAAATTAAACAGTATAAAAACACTTTTTATTCTATATATTAAACTATAAAACTAAATATTACAACTAAATATTACAACTATTACAACAAATATTGATTATGTTAGTTAAATTAGGCCAAAATATAGCAATGTTTAAAAATGCGTTCTTTTGTGTTGGTCTAGAGACTCCTAGTGGTGAATACATGCTAGAACAACTTATTTTTATGATTTCTTCATAAGTATCTGTGGATATGTGGACAAGAAGCAATGTCATACAGAATTTTTTATATCATTTGTATAAATATTTACTTTTTGGAATAAAAAGCTATACATAAGAAAGGTAAAAAGCACTTAATTGCTAATTAAACATAATTGAGGATAAGTGAAAACAATAATAGAGAATGAATAGGTATAATAAAGCACAAATAAGTGTATGGAATGTGCTGGAAACCCTTGCAGCAAACACAGAACTCATGTTCAGGCAGACGAACAGTAATGTGGCAGACGCAGACGTCA